TCGATGTCAGGAAAGTCGTAGTCAGGGACGCACGCACGGACGCACGCGCAGACGCACCCAGGGACGCACACACAGACGCACGCACAGACGCACACACAGACGCACACACAGACGCACACACAGACGCACCCAGGGACGCACACACAGACGCACCCAGGGACGCACACACAGACGCACCCAGGAACGAACACACAGACGCACCCAGGGACGCACACACAGACGCACCCAGGGACGCACACACAGACGCACCCAGGGACGCACACACAGACGCACCCAGGGACGCACACACAGACGCACACACAGACGCACGCTCAGACGCACCCTGGTACGCACCCATGACGCATGTACGGACGCACGCACGGACGTACCCCATAGACGAATGCACGGACGTACCCATGGACGAATGCACGGACGCACCCATAGACGCATGTACGCGTTTAATTTAGAGCAACTGTAACCACAGAGAGTAATTTTGGCTTACGTCATCACAGGCGTCTAAGATGGCCGCCGTCAGCTAGAACTCGTCTGCTAAACGTTGCTCCGAGGATTACCATCATATTCATCATGAATAATTCATACCCGCCACACGATCACGCGGGAGGCTGCGCTATCGAATGACCCCCAGAATCCCTGGATGCACCCAGCATCCCCGCATGTGTCCAGCATCCTAGAATGCACACAGTATCCTAGAATGCACTCCGCATCGCCGAATGCACCCAGCATCCCCGCATGTGTCCAGCATCCTAGAACTGCACACAGCATCTAGACAAAGCACTTCCCGATCCGAATGCACCCAGCATCCCCCATGCACTCCGCATCCCTATATGCACCCAGTATCCCCGATGCCCCCAGCATCGCCAGCATGTGTCCATGTCAATGTGTCCAGCATTCTCTGCAATGATCCTAAAATCCCCGGATATGTCCAGCATCCTAACACATGCACCCTCATAAATCCCCGGATATGTCCAGCATCCTACAATGACCCTAAAATCCCCGGATATGTCCAGCATCCTACAATGACCCTAAAATCCCCGGATATGTCCAGCATCCTACAATGACCCTAAAATCCCCGGATATGTCCAGAATCCCCGAATGCACCCAGCATCCCCGAATGCACCCAGCATCCCGAATGCAACATGGCATCCCTGGATGTGTCCCAGTAACCCTCCTCGAGCACCCTAAGACGGCCTACTCTCCCATTCTGCTC